AGGCTACAGGAAGAGTTCGTAACCATTTTGTGCTATAGTCCCATTCGGCAGTCAGGGGAAGCCTACGAATCCCTTTTCAGAATATTTGTTACCCATATTTGTAATAGAAAGAAATGTTAGATATCAGTTGGAAGTAAGTGAAAATTAAGATGCCATTTTCCCCATAGAAGTTCATGGCCCCCCCTGAAATCCAATAATGGTCGCCCCAGGTTAAGAACTCTTTGATTACAGCTACCTGATGCAACCTGATTCTGGTGATGGAGAGAGACCTCCTCGCACACTGAGCATGTAAGCACAGTGCTTTGGACACATTAAATACTTCAAAAATGTTTGTGGAATTGAAATGAGCGGTGATGTGTTCCTGCCCTCTCATACCACAGTGTAGGGGAAGGTTCTGGAAGAGTGGTCTTCTGGTCTGGAATTGTGATTCTGAGCAGGAATGCTGCCTGCCATGACAGGAGTTCTTCCAACATCCTCTCACCCAGTGGAGCTCATGAGAAAGCTGATTCTGTGGGAAAGGGAACAGTGAACTATCTTTTGGGAGACGAAAACTCTGCACTTAGGGACACAAAGGACTTGATGGACACAGAATGCCAAAAGACTCTTAGGGTCACAGAATGTCTGAGTTGGAAGGAATCTCAGGGGTTCCTGAGTGAAAATATTCTCCGTGACATAACCAACAAGTAGCCTTTGCTTGAAACCATCGACAACAGGGAGCTCACTACTTCCTGGGGCAGCTTATCATAATAGTTCGAATTGTTAGGCAATTTTTCCTTGCACGGAGCCAAAATTTTCCTCTCTCAAACTTCTCTCCACTGTTGCAGAGAGGCAGATTTAAGCTTTATGCAAACTGAGTAAACAAAGCTCGTCACATCACGGAAATTTGTAGGATACCTATATTTAGCATTTCTGAATCCTTTCAGAATATGTAGGAAATGTCCAGGTTCCTGAAGTCGCAGGAGGTTTCCTTGTCTTATTTTGCCATGGCCTGCCTTCATCACTCAGGGTCAGCTCATGCACAGCCAGAAATCCTGACGTGCAGCAGGCATTTGCATCCAAAAGATGGGCTATCACTGATGCTGCCAGGAGGAAAGACTGAAAAGGACTTGGCAAAGGTCCTCCATCTCTCTACAACAGCCCTAAGCAGTTTCCCACCTACCCTAAAAATGTTATTGGACACTTGACATTTACTAGCTGTGTGACCCTGGGCAAGTCACTTAACCCTGATTCCCTCACCAAAAAAGCAAAAAAAAAATGTTATTGGAAATAAGCCTCCGGGAGTGTCCTTTGATTGGTGGTCCCAGTGAGTGCTCAGATAAGCTGTCTTGAAATGCTGCTGGACTCGCCCAACAAGGGCCTTTTATAGACTAATTCTGTAGGAGTGGAAATAACTCCCCAGAATAGGCTAGCTTTCAGTTGTGAGTTTTGGGGAAACCTTTCCCTCCCTGCTATTTCTGCCATGGTTTCATGTATGTTAGAAGCTTAACTCCCCTTCTAGATCACACCTTTCTTGGGGTAGCTAGGTGGCACAGTGGATAGAGCACCAGCCCTGGAGTCAGGAGGACCTGAGTTCAAATCTGGCCTCAGACACATTATACTTTCTAGCTGTGTGACCTTGGGCAAGTCACTTAACCCCAATTGCCTTACCTAAATAAATAAATAAAAATAAAATAGATAGATATCATAACTTTCTTGAGGATGGTGAAATATGCTATTTAGTTCTTTCATTTCTCCCATAATTCCTGGCACAATGCTAGACATATAGTTTTTTTCTTCAATTCAGCACATTTATTAGGCACCTGTAATCTACCAACCACAGAGCTGAAATAGGATACCAGAGAGAACCTTGGAGTCAGGATACTTGATTCCAAGTCCAAACCCAAATCACTCATTGTGTGACCACTATAGTCACTTAACCTGCCTCAGTTTCCTCACTTGAAAAATGAGGTTAATAATACTTGTGCTATCTAGGCTAAAGTGAGATAATATGTGTAAAGCGTTTTGCAAACTTGAAAGCTCTATATCATCATCATCATCATCATTATCATCTCATGATATTGAATGCTGACTATGGGTTCAAGAAGAACCGGATTCAAATCTCACCTCTCATTCTAGCTGTGGGACCCTGAGATAGCCACTTCACTTTTTGGTGTTATTCAGTCATTTTTTGGTCATATCTGATTCTCCATGATACCGTTTGGGGGTTTCTTGGCCAAGATACTGAAGTAGTTTGCCACTTCCTTCTTCAGTTCATTTTACAGATGAGGAAACTGAGGCAGACAAGATTAAATGATTTGCCCAGGGTCACACAGCTAGTAAGTATCTGAGGCTGGATTTGAATTCACATCTTCCTGACTCCTGGTCTGGCACTCTATCTACTGCACCACCTAGCTGCCCCCACTTAATCTTTATGAGCCTCAGTTTCCTAATCAATAAAATGGAAATACCCTGCTAGCACCTACCTTATAAAAATATTGTGAAGATTAAATAAGATTATGCATATGATGTGATATGTAAATATTATAGTGCAGCACTCCTCTAATCAGTCAATAAACATTTATTAAATGTCTACAATGTGTTAGGCTGTGCTAAGCCATGTTCTGGAGCAGATCACTTAATTTCTCTGGGCCTCAGGCTCCTCATGTATAAAATGACGCATTTATGTTTGATAATCTCTAGGCTCCCCTCCAGGTTTAAATATATGGTCCTCTGATCACCAATAAATGTCCTGTTATGACTGTAGTGTGCCCCAGCTGCCCCACCAGAGACCACCATGGCGCATTGTGCTGGAGCCACCACAGTACTTCTCACTTCAGCAGACCTACCCTGGACCCCTGCACATCCAGATGCTGCTAGGATCTCTCCCCAATAGCATCCACTAAAAACTCCCAGACCTTAGAATGGCTCTTCTGGTGTACCCTAAGTAGCACTAAAACTTTCCATTCACCCTATAGCTTAGCTCTCCTATATGAGCTATCTCCCCTAATTAAAACATGATCCCTGAGAAGTGGGAATGTCTTATTTTCCTCTTTGTAATCCAAGAGTTTAGCACAGTGCTTGGAACATAGCCCATGCTTAATAAATACTTTTCTGTTCCATTATTGCTTATAAAATCCGTGTGTGTATATATATATATATATATATATATATATATATATATATATATATATATATATATATGTATATATATATACATATATATATGTGTATATATATATATATACACACACATATATATATATGTATATATATATATATATATATATATATATACACATATATATATGAATTCTGATTTCCTCTGTGTGCATACTGGGAAAACCTGTGACCACAGAGAGGAGGGGTTTGGACAAAGGTGCCCTCGTAGCCCAATACAATGAAAAGGGAAGGAAGCACATCCTCCCTGCCCTTTGGCTTTGTCTTTCCTCCTGGGCTCAATCCAGGCCAAGTCATACCATTGAGCTGTTATTGCTTTTAAATGACATAATTGGCCAAATATCATAGTTCTCAACCCAGTCCACAGTCACTAGATTGTCCAGAGAAGCCAACACTTCTCCCAGGATTTGGTGAGGCAGCTATAAGCCCTGCCAGCATTGTGCAGCATAAGCTCTGCAGAACCCTCCTCTTTTGGGAGTGATCCAGTTCATCAACAATGGATCTCGAAGTATTCTTTTTTTATTTAACAGAATGTTGATTGCTTCTCATTAAAGCCCTCACTGATTCAGTATACAAAAAGGAGGAAAATTTCAGGAAGTTTGCAATCTGCCAAAACCTTAAATTTAGTAAGCAGCAAAAGTTACCATGATTTGGTTGCTAAGCCCCGTCCCTACCTAAGTTTGTTGTAATTGAGTTATTTCAGACTCTTTGTAATCCCATTTGGGGGTTTCTTGGCAAAGACACTGGAGTGATTTGCCACTCCCTTCTCCAGCTCATTTTATTGTTGATGAAATGGAGGCAGACGGGATTAAGCAACTTGTCCAGGGTCACACAGCCAGTAAGTGTCTGAGACCAGATTTGAATTCACAAAGATGAATCTTTCTGGTTCCAAGCACAGTGCCCTATCGACTGTACCACCCAGCTGCCCCTAACCTAGGTTTACTCACATTCTATAAGGATGGCATAATCTTGACTTCAGAAAATCTATTGAGTGCCCTAGAAATCAAATTTATTCATTCTGCTCAGCAGAGAGAGCTTGGTAGTAATCATCAGTAGGGTGAAACAGAAAGAGTACTAGAGGACTTGGGTTCAAATTCAGACTCTGCCATTCACAACCTATATCTTGTGTAAGTCAAGATATATTGGGCTTAAATTCTTTGGGCTTCAGTTTCCTTATCTGTAAAATGAGGTATTTGGATATGATTGTCTCTAAGATCCTTTTAGGGTGGCTAGGTGGCACGGCGGGTAGAGTGCCAGGCCTGGAGTCAGGAAGACTTATTTTCATGAGTTCAAATCTGGCCTCAGACACTTACTAGCTGTGTGACCTTGGACAAGTCATTTGACCCTGTTTACCTCAGTTTCCTCATCTGTAAAATGAGCTGGAGAAGGAAATGTCAAACTACTCCAGTATCTTTGCCAAGAAAACTCCAAATGGGGTCATGAAGAGTTGGACACAACTGAAACAATTATGCAACAACGAGATCTCTTCCAGGTCTAAATCTATGGTCCTTAATAAATGTCCCACAATGAGCACAGGATTGTTAAAGGTGTTATGAGGAATTGGAGGAACAGACCTGGCCCGAGGCTATACTCTGAAGAAGAAAAAAAGTCTTTGGTGATCACCCAAACTACTCTCTCTATGTTCCCAGGAGCAGATTATTTAATAGGCACCGGCACTTGCAGTGTATTTAGCAGAAGCAAAGCAGTCAGCCTCCCTCCCTCCCTTCCCTTCTGGGCAAAGAATTGTTAGTGAGATGTGGCAGCCAAACCCCCTAAAGTGATTGAAGGCTGCATGAGAGGCAAAGTCTGCAGGGCAAAGAAGGTGGTAATCCCACTGTACTTACCCCTGATTAGACTCATATCGAGTCTATGCTGGAGAGGGTCCAGAGGAAGGCGGCCATTAACGTGAAGAATAAGAATAACTTGAATGAACTGGAGAGGTTTAGCCATAACGTGGAAGAGGGATTACATTTATTCTGTGCCCCAGGTTTCTGTTCTCCACCCTCCCCTTGTTTGGAGTTTGATAATCAAATCAACATTTCCATTGCTTCTGTAAAAGGCAGGACAATCTACTTCCCAGCGACTCTAATCATCTATTATTCAGTCATTTCAGTTCTGTCTGACTCTTCCTGACCCCATTTGGGGTTTTCTTGGCAAAGATACTGGAGTGGTTTGCATTTCTTTCTCCAGCTCATTTTACAGATGGGGAACCTGAGGCAAACAGGGTTAAGTGACTGTCCCAGGATCACACAGCTAGTAAGCGTCTGAGGCTGAATTTGAACTAGTGTCTTTCTGACTCCTGGCCCAGTGTTCTGCCTGCTGCACAACCTAGCTGCTACTCTAATCATAAACCTGGACAGTCTATCAGCCCCACGTCAGGAAAACTGAACTTCTTCCATTTAAATGATCTCAGGAAGATCCTGAAGATCACCTGACAAAGATAAGGTACCAGACACCAAGATCCTCTCTAGAGCTGAACTGCCGAGCATTCCAATGCCATTGCAGAAAGCACAACTTCCTTTGGCTGGCCACATAGTTTAAATGCCAAACACAAGCTTATCTAAAAGACTATTTTATGGCGAACTCGCACAAGGCAAGCTCTCACATCCTAGTCAGAAGAAGGGGTATTAGCACATTCTCAAGGTCTCTCTGAAGAGCTTTAGTACTGACTGTGAGGCATGGGAAACACTGGCACAGGACCATTCAACATGATGTGCCCACATTAAAGAAGACGCTATACTCCATGAACGAAGCTGAATAAATGGAGTACAGAGGAAACGTGAGCTGTGCAAATCCAGAGCCCCTTCAACTCCCAATGTTCTAAGGGAACACTTGTGCCTGGCCTGTAGTGGTGCCTTGAGCCACAATCAAATCCACTGTACCCTGACTCCAACATTGTGAGGTCATTGGTCTTCTTTAAAAACGAAGAATGAACAGCAGTACCTACTATTTTTAGTTGTAGGCTTCCTAAGCCAAAGCCCCCTTTCTGGCCACCTCTCTCCAAAGCCTTCATACTCATCCATAGCTTCCATCACCCTACTCCTCTTGAAACTCCCCCTCACTTGTGGTCTTTGGAACTCTTCTATTGTCAACAAACTGCCCTTCACCTTAGTCTCCACCTCTGGAAATTACTTTGTACTTATTTCACATTAAATTTTCTATTCGCCTTTCTTCAAATAGAACATAAGCTTACAGGGAGGTAAACACGTTTATATTTGTATCCTTAGTGCCTAGTACAATGCCTGGCATTCAGCTGGTGCCTAAGAAATGCTTGTTGAACTGAATGGTTGAATTTATGACCTGCTCCTCTTTCCTGTATCTCTACCCAACTCCAGAGCCCTGACCCATTCACTGTGAGTTTGGGAGTAGAAGTAATTGCCTGTTGAGAGCCCATGGAATGTAATTAGAAGAGGGGACCCAGTTCTCTGGTAGCAAGAGCCAGCACAAGGAAGAAAATGATAGAGAAGTACAGAAAAGAATACCCCATTTCCTTGTCCCCCATAAGATGCTTCTGTTAACTTTTAAATCTTAGAATATGGTTTTTTTTGCTCGTTTTGTAATTTCATCGGTGTTGGCACAGCTCCCAGTGAAAATGTTCTAATATCTCAAAAGTTCAAAAGATCAATAATTTCATTAGTGTTGGCACTTCTTCCACAGATTCAGGTCACAACTCTTTCAGGCCTTAGCAAACAGTTTTAATGAGTTGCTGTTAGCAAAAAAAAAAAAGAAAGAAAGAAAGAAAGAAAAGAAAAAATATCCCATCACATGGTGGCCTACCTTCTGGGGGTGAGCCTCTGTGACTTAAGCCAGGCTGGTCTTCAAATAACAAACATACCTGGTCTGTTATAAGGCCTGTACTTTGGTAGGACCTGCTAAAGCTTGGCCTCCACTGACAGAACCTTTAAAAAGACAGGTGTCACCTCTATGCCACAATGAATCAGGCTACTTACTATCTGTGTGATCTTGGGCAGGTCACATAAGTTCTGGGTAGCTTCCTTATCTGTGAAATGAGAGGGTTGCCTAGATGAACTTCCAAGGTTCCTTTCAACTCTAGACTCTACTGTGGGTAGAAGTCAGAGAGGGGATTGGAGGTTTACTAAAAAGAAAATCTTACTAAAAATTAGAGTTAACCCAAAGCAAAATGGGCTGCCTTGGAAGAGTTGCAAATTCCTCCTCTGTGGAGGTCTTCAGAGGTGGAACGGCCACTTAAGAATGCTGTAGGTGAGATCCTTGGGCAAGCACAGGTGAGGCTGTGGTGCAGTGACTGAGGGTCTATTCAATACTAAAAATTCGGTGATTTGGGTTTTGTTTTTCTTGCCTTCTCAATGGGTCAAGAAGAGACAGGGGAAGGAGAGAATTCAGAATGGAAAACAAAATAAAACTTAATTAAAAATAAATTTAAACAATTCTAGTTTTCTGTAAGAAAGGAACTTTAAAAAAAAACAGATCAATGATTTCCTTGGTGAGGTGAACTCTCCATAAGGAAATTCTTTCCACCAAAGTCCATCACAACTGCTAATTTTAGAGAATTGCCTTGAGGCACTGAGAGACCAAGTGACAGAGAACTTTAGTGGAGGAAAAATGCTAAACAAGCATAAAATAATGGAGCAATAATGGTATTTTCTATGTTTAAATCGAACATTTTAATAATATCCCCTAAAACTTTTTTTCCTAAGGCCCAGGCTAACCAGAGAGGCACATCACCAGGGTGATAAATTTTCCAACCATAACAACGCTCTCTGTCTGTTTCTCTGTCTGTCTGTCTGTTTGTCTCTCTCTGTTTCTCTCTTTCACACACACACCCCCTAATAAATTTCAGTGGAATTACAATCTGCAATGGAAAAGGGAGTACCCAGAGTGATGAAATTCTTCTCAAATGTGGTTTTTAAAAGTTTTCCAATGCGAAATTAAGAAAGATTCCTTGATGTAATAACAGAAATAATTTTGTTCAACAATCCTCTCTTAGCAATAACAACTAAGGCATAAAACAGTTGATACATCCTTTCCAAAGGCATTTGCCACCATCATAGGAGACATATAAGGGTCCAAAAAGATTCCCAAAGATGGTGAGGTCCTCCAGATGTGCATACTTAATGATGACACTATTTATTTCTTCAAGTTTCATAACATCATAGAGCCTAAATAGGATTAATAATCATTCAAAGGTTAAAGAATGCCAGTTGCATGGACCATGATCATCAGATGGACAGCCCATATATCTGGTCTGTCAGTGCATGTATTGTGGATAAAAACTGAAGATGGACAATAAGCTAGGTCTAGAATCAAAGGGATAGAAAAGAATAGCCTAGATTGCATTTATGAAATTGTGTGGTCCTTTTAATGACTCTGAGCTTCAACCCAAACAAAAAAAAAACCCATCTTTTTAACACCAACATTTTTTCAGAGAATGCTATATGACTGCCTATTATGGAGTACCACAATCATCAATGGCTCAAAATTTTTAGGTACCCAAAGGTTGGTGAAAAGACTTCAGCATTCTACCAATGAGATGTTGCAAACGAAAAGCAGAGTAAAGCTATTGAGGAAATAGATGACTAGAACAGGTGATGTGCAATCAAGTATCTAGCAGGAGTTCTGAACATTTTTGTATCACGGACCTCAGGCAGCCTGGGTAAGCTATGGATCCTCCTTCAGAATATGGTTTTTAAATGCATAAAATAGAATATGTAGGATTATAAAGGAAGCTAATTATATTGAAACACAGTTATCAAGATATCTATATCTATTTAAAACAAATCCGTAGAACCCCTGGACTTGAGTAATGGACAGTTGATGGGCAACACATGGACTACATTGGGACTCAGACAATGTGAAGAAACCTAGAAGGCATCGGGTGTGTTGGGTGGGTCCTGCAGAGGATTAAGGGAGGGTACAAACAGGAGCCAAACAGAAGTCAAAGGCATGGTTGCAATCTGCACCAATGAAGGGAGTACCCACATAGATGAAACCATCAATTCATTAAAATAGTGACGGATATGAAATTAAACAACATGTTACAAATTATGAGGAAAGGTCCCTAACGTCTTTTGTGCTCCAGGGCTCAGACAATCTTAATTTGTAATTGAGTGGCAGTCTTTTCCGTCTCAGTATCCAACACCCTTCTTCCCCATATGACATAGGACCATGGGTTTACAACTAGGAGAGATTTTAGCATCATTCAGTCTAACCCTGTCATTTTATAGCTGAGGAAACGGAAGCCCGGAGAAATCAATTGATTTGCTCAAGATCATGAAGTAGCAAGAAGCAGAGCTGGGATTTGAACTCAGTTCTTCTGGCTGCAAATTCAATTCTTTTTCTTCTATCACACACACACACACACACACACACACACACACACACACACACACAGCATCTTATTTTGGCAGAATGTTGTTTAGAAAGTAAATGATAAACTAATCCCTGCTGAGGTATTAGCTGATAATGGTTTACAGTATTACCTTTCCCAGGAGAATGTGTATTTAATAGGAGACTCTGAAAGCCTGAAATCTTTCTTGGCCCAAAGGAATGCATCTTTCTAATGGAGTTTATGTTTTTTTGACATGCCTGTAGGAGCTATATTCTGGAGAAGAGAGTATTTTTCTTGCACTTAGCAAATCATATTATATAAGGGGGCTCCTACTCAAGCTTACCCATGAGACCAGCCCTACCTGGGAGAGCAGAATGAGCCTGGGTGTTGTGGTGCCTAAAGCTGGCTTCAATGAATTAAAGACTGAAGGTGAGACCTTATAGGTGACTTTTGCTGCTAATGCTCTCTGAGTCCCCCTACTAGCAGATTTCGAGCAAACCAAACTAAAAGAAACAGAAGGAGATTCTGTTTCTCTGGAGTCTACTGCCTGATTCTTTTCATCTAGTACACTCTTATTTCCTTGAGACTTTGCATGCTGTGGCCAATTTTTTTGTAGCTCCCAATCTGTCACCTCTCGGCCTTCGCAGTCAGTGGAAGAATGAGGTGAGGCTGTCCAAGTTCAAGCTGTCTATGCAGCATCACCGTAATGGTGCTAACCAGCCCACCCCACCCAAGTTTTCTCTGTGCCATAGAAAAAAACCCTGACATCAGTGTGCATCCACTTTCCAGCATGGTCACTTTTTTTTTTTGCATTGTTCGCATGATTAAGTCCAACAGTAAGCTGCCAATA